CTGGTTCATATATATATATATATACACACACACACACACACACACACACACACACACACATATGGAGGGAGACAGAATATTTGCCTATCAATGTATACAGATAATATGTGCTTATTACCACATTTTCAATCCCTTTAAAAACTGACCACTTTATTTTTATGTTTGGAGAAATTTCTGAATCACTCATAGCATGAGAAAGAGATGAGAACCTTGTAAATAGAATCAATGGAGATCTATAACATGACAAACTCTCCATGGATAGTACAAAACTCAGAATAAGACAATAAACTACAGTAACCATTAATATTGCGAGGATAAGCTAATTCCCTTAATTCTAGAAAATAAAGTTGCAAGAAAGAAAGAAAGAAAAAGAAAATTGGAGGGAGGGAGTTTTAGCAAAGGGGGGATATGGAGATATGTTAAGATATTCAACTATCTTAAAATATAAATATAAGTTTCTTCTATTTAAAGATGACAGGAATATCTATGAAGTTAGGCAGAAGAACTTCAAGGTTTTTTTCTTTAACTGAAGACTTTCTCTTTTAAAGTTTACATTGAGTGATAACATAATTAGTTGAGTTGGGAAATGCCAAATGAAAATGAAAAACCTAACACATGCTGCATATGAATGGCTTCTCAGGAAATTCTTGTGGATTCTTTTTTCTTGTCAAGCAGGGTATTTCAGTGAAGTGCACCTAGAGAAATAAGACTATCAAACTGATGGCATTAAAAAGAATCAAACTATGCTCAGTTCTGCTCATGACTCACAGAAGAAGGAAGAAATCCATTAATTAAAAAAGAAAAACCCAAACTAATCCTGTAATGGACAGAAACCAAAACTACTTACAAAAAACTCTGTTTAACCTTATCACAAATACTCCTTAGAATGTAGAACGTTATTTTATGAATAATTATTAATCAAAAGTCATTTTCAGTGAGAAGTGCTATAACTGACAAATGGCCTATCCCAGCAGACCCTTGTTTCTTCATGTTTTCTCGAAACAATAGCAAGATTCTCATAGTATTTGTTTTTGCACTTTGCAGAAAGTTCCAAAATAATGGAGAAAGACTGAGAACAGGGAAAACAAACTTATTTTTCTTTGAACCAGATCTGATCAAGTATTGAACATAATGAACCTTAAAAAGAGAGACTCTGTTCAGGACATGGGACCAGAAGAGGATAGTGGTATCCTCTGTCCACTACCCCTAAAATTACATCCTTTGTTCCAACATGTGATTGCCTCAAGGGATGTTCCTGCACAGCATGGTGGTTGTGGCTAGTGATTACTTTGCTATACATGACTCCTCTTGGATCCTGCATCTGCTGCTTGTCTGCAGTTCATTTATTTTTAACCCTTAAAAAAAAGAGTAGGGTCACTTTGTAGAGTCATTTCATAATCCAGACATGAGAATCAAATTTTTGTATATTATTGAAACCCTAATTTTTCTCCTTGGAGGTGTGGATTACTCATCACAGGTCTGTTTGTTTATTCCTAAGTAGCATTTTCTGAAAAATAACACTTCATTTTATTTGTTGCCTCAATTATCTTATCCAGCAAAACAGTTTAGCAATACTAGGAATTATTCTTGGAAATCATCAGTTGCCAACTAATACAAAGTTGTCATTTTGTCTTTTTAAAAAATCAAAATTCTTACCATCCATAATACTTTGATATACATGTTCTCCTTTTCACATCTCTATTGATGAATTCATATCAAACAAATTTTAAAATCCCAGGTACAGATGAAAATTTTTTATTTAAATATGTTAGCATCAGTAAAAGGATTAATTTCATCATTAAATTTTACACTTTGTAAAAATCTAATTAAAAGCATGAAAATCTAATTAAGCATGAAATATAATTAAAGCTTGAAAAATATGAAAATAACTTAATACATGTGTCTAATTTTCATTAGAAGGTAGCAAGATCATGTATACTTTCAGCAGTAGCACAAAATTTTATCTAAGTTGGAACTTGTGATATCACTTTTCAACTTACGAGGCTGACATAATAGGGCCAAATCAACTTCATTCAATCTTTGGAGGTTTTACTTAACAACTCTGGAAACCCACATAGAGCTTTGAGTTTAACAACACCTCTAAGTTAGCTTCTTGGATTTTTGAGCTAATATATCAACAGATCTCTTCCTTAGCCTGTTACTTTTAATTTTGCAAAGCAGTGTTCTTGGCCAGCACTGTATGATATGGCTAGTGATTGGACTTACATCCTCTCACTGCTGTATGTATAACAGAGCCCTTAATAAGCAAATTCTTCTTTTGACAATTGAAACCATAAACATAACAGATAGGATAATGATACACACAAATCAATTACATTGATTTGAGCTTGCAATGTTAATGCATCATTTAGTTTTGCAGACAGTTTTCCTTAATCAAACTATGCAAGAGATACCTCTGCTTCCCAAAAACTTTTCTTTAGAAGACTGAATCTCAAATACATTTTAGCATTACCTTCATTTTAATAGTCATCGATGACATTGGATTTAAAGAGTGCTAACTTTCAGTTGTAATTTTCTCAGTAATTTAAAAGAGATTTGTGACTTTACTGTTGAAAGGAGGAAAGAACTATATCAGAGCTGTCACATCTTTCATACCCTGATACACCCCCCTCCCACTATCCACAGATCTTTTATTAAATTCCACTCTGGAAGAAATGTGAATAGTCACTGAAATGGTTTCACTGCCAGGACGTGAAAGCTGATATACTGAAAAATGTGTCCAGTTATGTTAAATGAATACCAATCTCCCTGACTAGAGGGCTAATATGAGACTATGACACAGTTATATTTAGAAACAGGATTAAAAATAGTGCCTGAATTTTCATTTCAAGGTCATTCACAGACACATCCCCAAAGTCCAGTGGGATTCAATCTCAAAGAATACTATTCATGTATGGGGTGTTTAGTTTTCTTTTTAGTCTATTCAGCCTATTAAGGCTTTTGAAGAAAGGAAAGTAATATTTATTAAGTATCTATTATAGTCTTAAGATTGTGTTAAATGCTTCCATTTGTATCTAATGATAACAATAATAATAATAGCAAGAATAATATTAACTGATAATTTTTGGAAACTCTATAGAAAAAACATATATGCTAAGCAATTTATATTCCTATTTATGCGTTTTCGTACCAAAAGCTTGTGAACTTTGCAAATGAAGATATCAATGATTACAGAGGTCCAGGGAGCTTTTAAAAGTAATGCCACTAAATAGCAAAGTATGATTCAGATCTTACACTTTTGATGCCAAAAATTGTCTCCTCAGAAGAATATTAATACAAAACTTTGGGTTTCAGACTATCTTCCTTTGCGAAATAGTGACAGTGATAATACATATACCATTGGATTGTAAGAAAAAAATTAATGATACATATAAATATGTTATAATGATAGTTCTTGGCACATGATATACAGCTAAGAAATATTACTGTGATGATTAAGCTTGATTATGTCAACTCAACTGGCTTGGGATTGGCCCAGATTGGTGGAACACACTTCAGAGTGTGTCTGGGTAGGGCATGAAGGCATGACTTTGGATGTTATCTGTGGTCTCTATCCTTTTCTCTCTGTTGTCACTCCACTGTGCTGGTTTCTGGCACCATGAAGCAAGCAGCTTTGTTCTGCCTGGCCCTTCTACCATGATGTTTCTATCTTGGAGCCATCCAACCACTGTATAATAAATTCCCTAAAACCATGAGCTAAATTACTATAAACCGCTCATCCTTTAAGATGTGTCAGGGAATCTGACAGCAATAGGAATCTGACCAATGCAATAACTATCAGTAATTTTGTGTAATGATTAAAAAATTTTTCGTGACACATTTCAAAATATCGTGATTTTTCTCTTTACATTTTATCTTATTTTCTAATACAAAACACTAGAAAAGGAGAAAGATTTTCTTTTCATTCTGTCTTCCAAATAGTTTAAAATAGAAAAGTTTTGAATATTTAGCAAAATATTACTTTGTTGAATATTTCTGTGGTTTATCAACTTTTATATTAAATTAGCACATCATAGATAAGGACATATTAAAAGCAACATTCACTTAAAGCTTTACTGTTTGATCTTTGAAACACTTTTATTTTCAAAATGAACATCATCCTTGGGGAAATGAAAAGCTAAGTATAAGTTAGCCTATAAAATTCTGATGTTAGTTGTTCCCCCCATGCAGGTAATAGTCATAATTTCAGATATGACTGTAAACTTTAAACTGTCCCTAAAATCCTTCTTCTTTTTTTCATATGCTTAATTTTCAGTATTTGAGACTTCAGTCTGTTACTTAATTTATTAGTTATACATTATTTAACAGAAGCCAGAAAAAGGTATTTTGGCAAGATACCTGTCATTAAAATGACTGACTTTCAACAACTCCTTGATGAAACATCTTTTTTTTTTTAAGGCTGAGATCATTCTCAGTTTATTACAGGGATAGCAATATGTATTTGTTATTCCCCTCTCTAGACCTTTTTTTTTCTCAGTAGGGTAGGCTGCTTGCCAATAATTGATCAATATTAATGAAATGTTTTTGTAACTAATGCCATTCTTCTTCTCAAAATATCAGTTTTAATACAAGCTTGCAATTAGCAGAAGACTTTGAAAGTTCATAGAAAAAATTACCAAGGCTTTTTAGCAGAATGTGGCTCTTAAAATAGCTTCTTTTACTCTGCTAGACCGTGAACAGTAACTGTTTCTGTTACTCCTTTAGTGATGAGCATGTTTCAAATAGGTCACCAACAAATGAGCTGTACAATCGATACTAGTAACCTTTAATAGTCAGTTTGTATTATGTATAAGTACAGGGCAAATATCATTATTGCTGATTACTATTTCTTTTCTTTTTTGATACCGGGGATTGAACTCAGATCCTTGCGCTTGCGAGGCAGGCCACCAAACCGCTGAGCTAAATCCCCGGTCCTGATCACTATTTCTAATGTCTGGCTGGCTTCTTAGATTTTCTTTCCCTACTTCTTCTTTCCTTAGAGTAATTAAATAAATCCACGTGAGTAGTTCTGCCCCATGGAATCATGAAAAGAAGCACAACGGGTCATTTCTGTTTAATTATCAGAGTAAGCCACTTGTGGATTTTTTCCTGATGCCGTGGTGAGTAGAAACTTCCAAATCATTGCTGTTCCTTCTACGGCCTTGGCCTGTGAAACACAGAATTAGCACAGCATAACCAAGCCCATCCTGACTGATTCACACAATGGGAATTACAAATAAAATTTATATCTCGAGTGAACTAGAAAAGGCAAGCAGACACTTTTAAAAACTGTTACACATATGGTGTAAATATATACATATTCTCATTTTGGGATAGGATGAGAACATAGGTCTTAAAATTGTATTCATGACCTGAGGGGTCACTATGAAGAAAGCACTAACATTGAATGTTTGTAGTATCTTAAACTTTATTTGAAATATATATATATGGTTATAATTAATACAATTTCTTATTCTACAGAATGAGAGTGAATTGTCTTGCAAATCAGTTATAGTATGTTTACTCAAAATAATATTTGTTTGTAGCATTCATCTTTCAGGAAAGCTGATATTACAAAAAATGTATTATATTGTCACTACAAAAAAATGAAACATAACAACTAGAAAAAAATTACCATTCATCTGTTCTATCTCTAACACAGGCACCAAATAATGGTTTCCTTCTTTGTTTTGATCAGAAATGTACTTTCCTTAAAATGTATTTTCTGTAATATCCCGGATATGTAATGTGATCTATTACCATACCTAAATCTTCCGTGAATTGTTTTTTATTTTTATTATATGCTACCACAAAAGGATGAGGAGTCATTTATGCTTATAATTCACTATGAAAAACAGTTCATAAAAATATTTTCTAATTTCATTTTCTGATTATCTTTTAATGCTGGCAGTGATTTCTTTCAGAATATGTCTGACTTTGATTAAAATTCTGTCATGATGCCCATATTAAAAAAATACTTATTTTTATTTGGAATAACAGTATTGGATTTCAAAACTGAATTCAGAAGATCGGATACAAATTTCTAAAAATTAGTATGCATCTGTACCCTTATGTAGCTTCTTAAAACTCCACACCAAAAAGGTGAAATAAAACTACTGCTGACTACCTGTTCTTCAGGTTGAATGACAAAACAGATGAGCAGCGGTGAGTTATATAATTATTTTGTTTGTTTGCAAATTTAAAAGCATACATTAATTTTAGCCCATGGCTACAAGAAATGATAATTAATACATATGTTAATATATCAACAATGTAAAATTTTGGAAATCAAAAAAATAAGACCCAAGATACATCATGTAAAGGTACAAAATCCCAAAGATGAATGTAACTGTATTGTATAACTAAAATGTACCAATAAAATTTTTTTTAAGTTTTTTAAAAAAAATTTAGGATTTCAAAAATGCAGATTTCTAAATAGACAAACGTTCCAAAATATTCAAATGAAACTATCATATGTTTTAAGTAGGATCAAATTAAAATTTTTTATTTATATAGCATATGACAATATCAAGAAACAGAAAGGTGTAAGACAGTCATTTATATATCATCATAGATAGTGTACAAATACTGTAGTCATAAGTTGTGGTAGTTAACTGATTGTGTCAATTCGAGTAAGAAATGCCCAACTAAATTGGCTCATCATAGTCCTGGGTGTGGAAGACCCACCCTGGGGAGGGTTAGCACCAGAATGGTATAAGTGGAAAAGAATAAAGGCTTACTTCATTTTCTTCAGAGAATCTCCACCCTTCACCTTGGACATTATCTCCTTTGTTTCTCTAGTAAGCATTGACTAATACACAGTGATAATTTTAACCTGCCTATTTTGAAACAATTTTGAGGCAGTTTATAATAAAAGCATCAGCAAGGAAATGAAAAATTATTAGGCCCAAATTAAGAGATAAAAATACAATTGTAAAAGGTAAAAAGAAAAATTAAGCAGTTACTTTAAGAAAAGATACTTAGAAAGTTATTAAAAGCAACAATTGGGAGGAATAAGTTCTGTTGTTCTATTACACAATAAGGCAACTATAGTTAACAATTTGATGTTAATATCTCCAAGTATTCCAAAAAGAGGATTTTGTGTTCACATGGCAAGGAAATGAAAAAACTATGAGTTGATGAAATGATAAATACCCTGTTTTATTATACAACATATGTATTCATTAACTTTTTACTCCATCAGTGTACAATTATTGTGTTGATTAAAAACAATACAACAACAAAGACACAGAACTTCCACTTATTTCCTCACTTGAAGTAAAAAGTGAAAGCCTGAAATAATAAAAAATGAGCTTATAAATGAATATTTATTGGTGATTTAGGTTTGAAAAGATGCTAATTTATGCATAGTTTGTAATTTCCATATTGCCCCAAAATTTCATTTAATCAATCAATTTGATCCCAAGTGTGTAATGACAATAGGTAGCCACTGCATTAAAAAATGATAACAGAGGAAAAATATTAGCAGTTGGACATAAAACTTAGTTCTAAACAGAATTAACTTTACTATGTAGATAATAAAGATTGTGTTTCAGGCCCTGAACTTTGAAGAGGTTCTTCCACAGTTCCACACATAGTTGGGCAGTCATAATTTTGAGTTATTTTTTTGGTACCAAGGTTTGAACTCGGGTCCTTGTACTTCTGAGGCAGGTGCCGGAAACACTAACTAAATCCCCGTCCCCTAGTTCTATATATATATACAGAGGTCTCAAAAGTCTATAGATGAATTCCCATTAACCTTGGATTGTCTCCTAACTACAAGTTTCCTGACAGTCAAGGAAAAATACACTTGATAATATTAAATAATAGTAAAATCATCAATTCATCAACAACAATAATAAATATTTTTCTAAGTTTATATTTTCACTGCAAAGTTTACTGCTAGGAACATTAAACTATGAATATAATAAAGTATAAACCTTTGTGAATGATGTTATCATATAGTGGAATGTCGTGGAACAATGCAGTATTATTGTACCTACAATTTGTCTTCAAACAAATAACAGAAACATGCTAATAAATACATTTTACATACTGTTACTTTTTGTTTGTTTCAGAAAGACACAAAGGGACTCTAAAGTGAACTTTTCTAGAAAATTTTTCACAGAGTAAAGGATGGAAAGAACAGCAAATAAGTAGGAATAGACAATGAAATAGAGATGAGCTGAAAGAATAATCACACTGTGTACAGAAAAGCATCTAGACACAGTAGAATAGAAAGATTAACTACTTTCTTGAATGGCAAGATTCAATATCTTGCATAAAAATTTCCATTGCCATCACGCATAAAATTAGCACAATAAAATTAAAGCATTGTTAGTAACGGGGAAACTAGATTTTCAGTGCTACTGACAAGATGATATGAAGGTAATTGTTCATGATAATATTTAGCATTAGTAATGGATTGTCTACTTTTAAAATTACTTTACATAATTAAATTGCAAAAAGTCATCATTTTATTGCAGCATATCCTATATGCCATATTAAAGAAAACATAACTATTTCAAACAAAAAAAGACATTAGTTTCTAATGAAAAGTGTTAAAATTAAGATTTGTTCACTGGCATTGGCATGTACTAATCTCTCAATAAATAAATTATGATGAATAAAATATTCACATATAAAATGCAGTAAACTCTAAAAAATTTTAAGTATTTTATGCACAGTACAATATGAATATAAATACACTTATTGGACACAGTAATTATTAAAAGGGATTTAATGTGCAATGAACTAGAGAAATCAATTCTATATGATATATTTAATCTGACTTAAACCACTAAATTAGTGGTAAATGTAATTAAATTATTGGTAAACATAAACTACAAAATGCAACCAATAATTTGCTTAAGACTACTGGGGGAAACTGGGTGTCCTGCCTCCAGCCAACTCTGACACCTGCCCAGGTCCTGTCGGGAACCAGGAGAGCCCAGAACTGTGTGCCCTACCCCAGTTAACACTGGCCCTGCTGTTGCGTTCTACAAAGCACAGGGCGACAGAGGTGACAATCAACAGACCAATCTGATCAAAGAGGAGACCAACACCTAGAAGGAGAGTTTTGCTTCAGGACCTACCATGGGACTGGGTGAAAGGCAGACTGGGGAGATACTCTTGGAGAGGATGAGAACTAAATAGGGATCTACTGAAATCTCCCAGGAAGGCCCTCAGTCAGACCAGGAAGATAGCCAGGCTTGTAGTCTGGTGTGGGAGGCCAGGTTTGGTAAATGTAATCATTAGAGGGGGCAGTCCTAAAGAAGAAGGCTTTCAGTCTAGTGACATGATTGAGCTTTGGCATTGCTGCCTATGTGTGGTTGAAATTAGTGGACAGAATTATTATAGGACAATGTAAGGGTGGCCTGTGTGTCTTCATTGAAATAACAACGGACACTGCTAATATCCAGAAAATTACTAGCAAATATTTCACAAACGTGTATGTCAAATAATCAGAGAATTCAAAAGAAATAGATTCCTAGATACACGTGAATTGTCAAAACTGAACCAAGAAGACTTAAAAATCTTCAAGAATCCAATACAGCCAATGGAATTGAAGTAAAATAATAATAATAATAATAATAATAATAATAATAATAATAACCCTACTGACCATAGCCAGATTCTACAAGAACTTCAGGGAAGAACTAACACCAAATTCTGCACAAACATTATAATGAAATCGAGAGAGAAGTTGTCCTTCCAAAATCCTTCTCAGAAGCTAACATTATTCTGATCCCAAAACTAGACAAGTATCCAACCAAAAAAACAGAACTATAGGCCAATTCCTCTAATTAATACAGATGCAAATCCTTGGCAAGATACTGGCAAACAGAATGCAGAAAATCATTAAAAAGATCATACTTTGTGACCAAGTAGTCTTCATCCCAGAGATGCGAGAATAGTTCAACACACACAAATAAATAAATGTAATTGATTATGTAAACATAAACAAAGACAAAAATCACATGAACCTTTCAATAGATGTAGAAAAAGTCTTTGAATAAATCCAACTTTCATTCATGATAAGGACACAGAAAAAAGTAGATATAGACAGTCTTTAATGAATATAGATTGCTTTTTGGTTTTTTGTTTTTTTGTTTTTTGTTTTTTTTTGGCCCCAGGGATTGAACTCGGGCCCTTGTGCTTGCAAGATAGGCGGTGGAACCACTGTGCCAAATCCCCAGCTAGAAGGTATTTAATCTCAATTTTAATAAAACTATTTATGACCATCATATTAAATGTGAAACAACTGAGAACTTTCCCTCTAAAACAGGAAGAAGACATGGATGTCCATTATCACCACTCCTTTTTCAACATAGCCCTCAAAATATTAGCCAGAGCAATCAGGCAAGAGAAAGAAATAAAAGGGATTCATATAGGGATGGATAAAGTTAAAGTATCAGTAATTGTAGATGACACATTCTTTTGTTTACAAGACTCAAAAGAGCAAAATAGTAGAAAAATAGTAATAGATAGAAATTCAAATAATCCCCCAAATTATCTATTCTGTTGTTTCAGTAATATTGTAATATATATATGGTAATTTGTTTCATTTATGTTACTAGTTTCTCTTAATTCATTGAGGGGAAAGTTTGCTGTTATTATCTGTTTGTTTCTTCTTGGTAAGTTTTTTTTGGCTATGTTTTATAGTCTGAATAAATACTAGTACTTAGAAGATAATGGTATGCAATATATTAACTATTGCTATTCACTTATTATTTTATTATGAAAGTTTGTTTTATTTTTTCATAAATTAAAAATGAACTAAATAGAAAAAAAAATGACAATCAATAAAATAGCAAATTGTCACATTTAAAAAAGAATACTGAGTGTGAAATGTGATTTAAAATGTTTATATCATTCTCAAAAACTGTCAATTGATAACCTGCCTGCACTTTCTTATGTAGCATGCAAAAATATTTAGATATTCATTAAACATCAGAAATGAGCTGGGCATGGTGGTGCACACCTGTAATCCCAGCACTCCAGAGGCATAGGAAGGAGGATCACTGTGAGTTTGAGACCAGCCTGGGCTGCACAGTGAATTACAGGTCAGTCTCAACTACATAGTGAGACCCTATCTCAAAAAACCAAAACAAAACAAAACAAAAACAAAAAAAAGAAAGAAATGAGGAAAACTTTTTAACAAATTAATAATTGAGGAATCTAATATTTAAGACCTTTATCAGGACGTCTCTGGAAACTTTTCTTCAGTTGTCAGGATTGAAGCCAGAATCTTAGGCATGCTAGGTAAGTACTCTATCCTTGACCTACATCCCAAGCCCTTTTAATTTTATCTTTTTATTTTGAGGCAAGGTACTGCTAAATTTCTCATGCTTGCCTTGAACTTTTGATCCTCTTGCTTCACCCTCCCCAGTAGTTGGGATTACTGTTGTGTGCTAGCATGCTCAGTTGAGAAGTCTTTCTTGATTTTAATTTTTCTCTTTTTCTGTACCACTGGGCTTCCTAAGAAAAACTTTGAAGGGTACAAAAACTCAAAAAAGAACTAAAACTATGTTTTTGGAAATATGTGTAGTGTAAGCAGAAGAAATATAATGGCACAGTCATATTTGTCTGTTCTTGCAATAAATGGTGTGTATATTCTTGTTGTATGTTTTGCTTATTTAAGCATTCCCTGAGAGTTTTTTATCCTGTTATCTTCCAGACTCCATGTTTATTGTCATCACCCTGGGTCTTTGCTTTGTCTATTACAAAATAAATTAAAACTGGAGTTATTTAAGCCATTTAGAATGACTCAATGGAGAAATTTAGAGATGTTGAACTTGAACAATGATTTCCTATTTAAGTTTTTGTGGTAAAAGAACTTACCATTCCAGTCATCCTTTTTTCTTCAGTGTTGAAGAAGATCTGTTGATGTGATGATACACTGAAGAGAAAAAATAGAAAGCACTCTTTCTCATTTGTATATTTCTCTTATATGTTAAAACAATCAGTATGTTTCATTATGTTACTAGTTTAAGTAAAAAAGGTTAGCAAGTTATCACCTGGGTTATCCATTTAAATATAGATACCTCATAATCAAATTTCCATTTTACTTAAATATCCTGTGTATGCAGCAGTTAATTCACTATACTTTTATAATTTTGAGTTACAGCTTATGATGCATTCTTTAAATTGTGTAAGTGGAGCAGGTCTACTTTTGCCCATTTAATAATAAAACTTTGAACTTATTTTATGATGGGAATTATAATCTTAATTATTTTAAGGAAAATTATAGATATTTGGCGAGAGTAAATCTCAATAACCAGAGCATTTGCTATTTTTGACATATATGTTTCTTACTTAGAAATATGAGTGCCTCATTCTTTATATTATTGGGACAGAATTCGTGAATCTTAAAGGGCAAGATCAGATTCTCACACAGAATTATCATCTAAAGTAATGTAAAGTACTACTTAGGTGCAAGGAAAAGGGCAGAAAAACACAAGAACAAGCATAGATAGGGCAGGAAGTGCACACATTACAAATAATCTAAGGTCTAAAAATAGGCACTTTTCTGAAGCAAATACAGAATTAATCAAAAGAGTGACACCTAATTATAGGAAAGTCCTGGGCTAACAAATATAGAGGTCTAAGAAAAATAAGAAAATTAACATTTAATCTTAAAGGGTTAAACTTAGCTGTGATTATCTTTAGAAATTGAAATGGAAATGTTCTTTCCTGGCCATAATGAATCAACATTAAATCCGAAGCTGTTAAGGTCTAAGTAAGGACAAAGGCAATTCAATAAAGCCACATAGATTTTTCTCATCCCACTTGTCTGAGAATCATATGTAATTATAGAGCTGGAAATGAGTTTGGAATAATCCAGCCTAACTTCTTTATTTCACAGATAAGAAAACTGAGGCAAAGTAATAGTACTAACTTTTCTAGTCACCCTATTAGTAAGTAGTAAATTTCAGCTTGGAATCTAAGTCTTCCTGTACCTGGTATCAGTACTATTTTTTTCTGTCAGACAAATATGTAGAACCAAATGCACAATTTTCAGTGGTTGTTTTCATGTTGAGAAGTTAATTCATAGTTGATATATATGCTTGTATTTCTAGTGTATGTGTGTGTGTGTGTGTGTGTGTGTGTGTGTTCACATGCACCTATGGATTGAGTTATAGTAGTCTCTAGGCACAAACAGGACTTTTTCTAAATGACACATCTAATCATAATTGACTAGATAGTTCCAAATGAAATGCATCCTTCCTAATGCTGGTGTGGGTATTTGGAAGTCATCAGAAAATTTCTGTTCAAATTCAGAATGTCTTATCAGACCTTACTTGATTTATCTAGCAATATTCAACCTACCATGACATTCTTTTAAAAAATATTTTAAATATTTACTTGTTAGTTATTTTAATTTCTATTATTTTTCTGTAGTTTTGAGTCTCATATCTCTTAACTCAGGACTCTTTCTTATGTGTTCTGTTTTGTTTTGTGTTCTTGTACTGATAATTTTAAGATATAAATAGTTTGCTAAATTGATTAAATATTTCTGCTTTTAATTTGAAGACAAGGATTAAAATATATAAAAACTAAATGATGGGATTTTATGAGAGAGGAAATCAAGGAAAGTTGAATTACTATTACAGTATTTTTATCTACTTTTACACAGAGATACCAAGAATAAAAGAAAAATTAAATTTAAATGATGTTATAGGAGCCATGGGATTATTTTATGATCAATATAATCAGATAGTAATACAAATTAAAAATTGAAGCATTAGTACAAATTTGAAAACAGTATTTTAATTTGTTTTCAATTTTGACCTAACTAGAAAGTATTACAAAATTTTGATGTGATTAAACGGCAATTCCAAGTCCAACATAAGAATGTTGACATAACTCATTTGATGTAATACAGAAGATTTCTCAGCTTTTGTTGATCTTGGTTTCTTCCTTTGAAAAATAATGATATGCTCTTAAACAATATCAGTCATATACTTAAGACATATCAGTCTTCCCCGATTCAGATACCAGAATTACAAAAATGATAAATTTATGTTCATATCTCCATATTTTCTCCAAGAACCAGCAATCAACACCTGATCCAATCTGTCAAGACCTGTGACCTTCACCTCGTTTGCCATGAACTCTGGTGCAAGACAAGAGAGACCTATGAAGAAATTCAATCCAAAGCTCTCTATCACCAATCTTCCCAGCTTGAGCGGTTGTGAAAAATTGTAGTGACCAGGTGCCTAACTCTATTTTAGAAGTAGGTTTTCTGAAAAAGAGTCTGGTAGAAACTTAGAAGGTCTTAGTCCTACTCCTGGACTGAATATAGTCTAAATCTTCTGCCTGCTTCTCCAAGAGTCTCTATTTTCTTAAAATTCTGAAATTCCTATTAACTCATCCTACCTTGCTTTTGGGTATTTGGAAGGAAGTTATCTGTTGAAATTCACCAGGATACTGACAAAGATGTTATCTTTCACTTTGTATAATTTCTATACACTTTATAGCAATTTCTATAGTCAGTGTATCACAATTTGGACCTGATTTGCAATAAATAAGCACCACTGGAAATCATCCTTACTTCATATAGTACTTTACATAGATAGTTATAACATTAAATAAATATAAACATTTTAAAATCCATCTTTTCCTTAATGAAGAGTCTAGAAAAAAATAAACTAACAAATGTAGTGAAAAAATGTAGTAGAATTTTATTTTTTTATTTGCTGTTTTTCTTTCTTTCTGTGTGTGTGTGTGTGTGTGTGTGTGTGTGTGTTGTCCAATTGTTAGTGGGACAATTCCACCATTTATACTTAGGGTGGTCTAGCTATTTGCAATGGATTATTCTTTGCAAAAGGGGTATGGTTATCTAAAAAGATATCAGTGGAAATACTTTAGCTTTAAAACTGAAATGTTAGTCATTGATCTATTTTATAACTTGCTTAGGAAGAATTTATTCATGCTAGTGCAGTGAAGCTTGTTTCCCTGATGTAAAAAAACTTTGCACTTTTCATTATTTTGTGTGTGTTGATGAAATACATTTTCATGTATTCATTCACTTAATACACTGCTATATAAAGATACATATTTTGGGACAAAGAAATTATGTTCTAAAATATTAATTAGAAGTTAATTTTTGAATTTGATTAATGCCATTAGGTTCTAGGAAACCATATAGGTTAACCACAAAGGACACTTACATATGTTCCTTAAATACAAGCAAAACAGGAAAAAAAAAAAATCTACAAGCGAGGCCAAAAAAAAAAAAAAAATCCATTTAAAACTTTGTATTCTAATGCAAAGGTCATGAAGAACCTTAAATTCATTTTGTTACTTTTCTAACCTATCAACTGTTGTCTTGACACAATTTGGGAAGAAAATTTGTGATTTCTTTTTTTTTTCTAGCAGATTTCATACATTCAATGTATGAATACCTCATTGAAGGTATTATTTGTCTTCTTGATTTTTATAATTATAATTGTTGATGTGTTCATTGTTTCTGTGGGGTTTTTTGTTTGTTTATTTGTTTGCTTGCTTGCTTGTTTGGTTTTAATTAGCCAAAATTTGAGTCTCTCAATTTCTGTCCACTGGTAAAAGGTTGAAGAACTGGGAGGAAAATTATATCATCTCTGGTATTGTAGACAAGCTACCTGATAGTTTTAAGTCTTAGTTTTTTCTCTGTAAAATTAAATAATAGTAATTATATTGTTACTGAATGTAGGACATAAATTTTGTATATTTCAAATATTTCCCCTTAGTCATTTATTTCCTTTTCCCATAATTATCTAGTATCATTGAAGAGACAAGATATAGTTGAAACAATTAATGAACAAAACGTCAATGTGTAGTTAAGCATTAAATGGCTACTGTATTTAAAAATAATGCTAATTTATGAGATACACTATAGTCTGCACTATACTATAGTGCTGAATTTATTTTATAACTCAGTATATTTTTAAAACATTGTAATGCTTTTCCTGCAGTACTTTCCTGTGTGTTTTCCTTTGTTCATGGCCATGCTTGCCAACTACTTTCCATTCACCAATATACAGCCAGGAACTAGTTCCTAGTTACTGTTTTAGTATTGTGGCACTTTTGAATTCACAATTTCTTTTCCACTTTTCTCTTTAATTTTTTCTGGACTCTGTGTATGAGAATCCACTCTCAATCAGTTACTTAACACAAGTTACTTTCTCTTCTTCAATTCATTCTGTAAACTCCACCTGGTTTAAATTTTCTAAGTAGCATCTGATTAGGAAGTTACCTTTTTCAAATACTGTCAGTAAGTTCATATTTCTCTACAAATGGAGCCCAAACATCTTTTCAGAGAAATTAGTATTATCTATGGCCAAATCTCATCCTGACTTCTCTAGTCTTATTCTTCTCTATTCCTCTTAACAAACCAATGGCTTTGTTACATTTGATACATGATGCCTCCCCTCTGCATTTTTCAACTCTTGTCTTTGTACAACACTTAACTTTTGTATTGGGCTTTTCTTCCTCTTGTCTGGAATTTTTACTATCTTTAAATGCATAGCTGAGCAGGGTGTGATGGCATATTCCTATAATCCCAGCACTTGGGAGGTTGAGGCAGGGAATCACTGTGAATTCAAGGCCAGCCTGAACTACGTAGTAAGATTTTGTCTGAAAACAACACAACAAAACAAAGAAAGAAAGAAAGAAAAATAATACATATCTGGGATGCCACTTATACACTAGAATTTCTTTGTTGTCCTTGGCCAAAATTGATCTCACTCTTCAGGATTCTATAGCCCACTGTTATCATCATTCAACAATCATACCATATTTCTCAGTTTGTGAACATGTTTAATCTGAACTCTATTATTGACTGCTTAGGAGTAGTCTTTAAATCTGTCACCAGAAGTAGCAGAATTTTATATATGTGGATACTGAATGCTTCTTTGGAAAACTCAAGATGTTGTGAACTGTCAATCAGAGTCTGTTTCATATAGGAGCGCAGTCTTTTGAATTTGGGCAGAAGTTAATGTAAGGAGAAACTTTCCATGGCACAAAGTATGTATTTTAGAATGTAACCACCTCAAGATTTATCCTGTGGGTACTGTTAGAAAAGTAACTATAAAGAAATGTTATGAGTGATATCTTGAAAAACAAAGGAGGTTTAAAATGCATTGGATGATGAAGAGAGGCATTATGTCAGGAATCAGGAAGCCTGGGTTCTAGCCACAGTTTAATTTTTGATAGTTTGAGATTTCAACAGTGATTTTTATAGACCTCAGTTTCTACTGAATAAAAGTAACTGATGAGACTCAATAATTTCTCAATTGTTCTAGCTTTAAAATCATTCCTATAAAGAAATAATGGACTACTTTTTATTTTTGACCAATTATTAGCATATAAAAGCTGGTTTAAGGAAGTCAGAAAAATATCCAAGAGGATAAAAAGCATTGAAAAATGTAAAATTTGAGCAGCTTTATTATTTTATATAAGTAAAATTTTTATATAAATAAAAATTAATAATATAAGTAAAGTCTTACAGGATACTGTATCTATATTCTTATTTTTTTCAGTCTATCATTTACTATTTGAATGATGAAAATCCTTAATGTAGATCATAACAGTCTTGAGTGGATCAGAAATGTTATACCGACCCATAGTCAAACCATCCCGTACAAATTAGGTTCTATCTTTCATTTTGACTATCTCAAGGCAAATAGCATAGTCTTTTCCTGACTCAAATAGATCCAATTACTTCTAATGACCTTATTTCAGCTTATTGAGTGTCTGTGAACTGAGAGTTTTTGTTTAAAACTAAAGTCAACTTTTATTTTGTGAGAACTTCTGGACAAAATGAATAAAAGTCACTGAAGCTTTTTACCACATTATTCTTTTTTCATTTGAGTAGTTATTGAGCACCTACTGAGTGAAAGAGAATATGCTAGTCCCCCAAAGATGAATAAGGCAAATTTGGGTCTTAGGGAGCTTACAACAAACATGCAAAATAGACTGAGCTTATGAAGGCTAGGAACAGTTCCTTGTTCATGGTAGATACTCAGTAAATGACTATTGGTGAATCAAATAGTACAGAAGTTAGATTATGATAAGAACTACTGCAAGGGGTTCACAATGAAAACTTCATATTTTAGGATTCTCAGAAATGTTTCTGAGGAAAGTTGGGTTCAGGCCTTGAAGTTGCTTTACTGATAGAAGCAAGTGTTGAAAGGTCATTAGATATGTGACTAGCAGAAAAAGATGTTCCTTGCAAAGAGGATGGTCCAACAATTAAAAATGTAAGGGAGCCTAGAGCAAATTCAGAAACAGGGAAAGGCTTAATTGCCTGGAGCATAGGGGAATGCTCAAGGAAAAAGTAAGTGATTAAACCAGGTGTGGTGGCCCAAGCTTGTAATCTCAACACCCAGGAGGCTGAGGTAGGAAGATTGCTATGAACTCGGGCCCAGCTTTGGGTACATAGTAAATCTAAGGCCAGGCTAAACTACACAGTAAGACCCAGTCTCAAAGAACAAAACAAAATAAAATGAAAATAAAGTGTAAGTGGCTAAAAAGTGCTTCATTTTCTAGGTAACTTGGGAATCACTGAAGATTTTCAGTTAGAGAAGAACGCTGTTAATACCTTTGCTTTTCTTTTAGCCATTACACTTTAATATGACTTAGGGTTATTAAATGTTATTCTTAAATATCATCTTCAATGCTTAGAAACTCATGCACTCAAAATGCACACTGAAAACAAAAGCAAAACAAAATATAACAGCCTTTTCATTTCTCATCACTCTGGGCCGCAATGTCAAGAATCAAATGGATTGTTTATTGAAGTTCTCATTCAGCCCTAGAGGGGGTCACTCAAGGAAGTAGCTGCACTCAGTGATGGTGCTGAAATAGTGTTATAGACTTCACATTCCAACATATTTGAGTTTCTATTGACATTAGATTTACTATCGTTAAAAAAGCAGGCCTATATAACACAATTTTACAGTAGAACATCATATAAATCATATTAGAAAAGTATTTTTCCTTAACCATAAGAAAAATGTTAGATTCCTATTACTGGCTGCTATTTGCCCTAAAGTCATGCTAGAAAAAAAATGTTATTTCCAGTCATCAAGAGTAAAAAGTCCATTGTTCAAACAATGTCATCATTAAATGATTTAATATTTCAAGGAATGTAATCATATTCCTTTGATTTGTTCTGGGAGATATAACCTAAATATATTCTTATATATTAACAATCAAATTCAATATTAACTGTTTATTTAACCTAACAATAGTAACAGACATATATTTTGACTGTTTTAAAATTATTGTACAAGTAGATCATTTTACCTTAATGATCAAGAGTTTATTCCCCAAGGTATGCAAATACATTTATGAAATTTAAAATAAAGAATGTTGATAAATTATTCAGAAAGCCTGAAATATTATTATCTCTAGTTCTTCATTTCTTTTTTTGAAAGGCTTACACCCTCAAGTCCTTTGCTAAGTAACTTTGCACTATCTCCCTCCTGCTAGGTTAGGCAGAGTATATGTTCCTCTAGCATCATTGCTGAGTTTGACCATAAGACCTGGTGTAATAATGGAACAAAAGCAGCCATAGTATGAGCATGGTTTCAAATGTGCCAGTGTAAATACGCATGAGTGTTTGTGTTTCTTCGATTTACCACAAGAAGAATAAGCCCTGGGTAGCAACTGGACCTCGAGTGATGAAGACACATGGAATGAATTTGAGTCTGAGCCCAGGCCTAGAGTCCAGTCAGGCTTTGGTAAGTTCTATTGAGCCCACCTGAGATTAGATGTTCTATAGCTGACTCACAGATTGATGAGTGTGAAAAATATTAACATTTGATTTTGTAAAGCCATTAGAATCTTTGGTGTTACTTATTATCCATCATGATTGTAGCTGTCATTGACTAATACATATTATTTTACAGTATTTTCATAGCTACACATTTCCCAAATAAGAGTAAATAATATGTGAATAGAGTTTTAGATTATTGGATTTTCTGTAATAAACTGTTAATTAAGTGTTCCACTGTAAATATGTCTCAGTAATAATAATAATAATAATAATAATAATACGGTTTTGCTGACTGAATAAAATCTTTGCAAACTATTTTTAATTTTGTGAGCACTAAAGTTCAAATTGGAAAGGAGATTAGGCTACACAGTCTTTATATAGGAAAACTTTAAATCATTGAAATTTTCTATTCTATAAACTAACATTTTATAAATTCCCCCTTTGTTATCTTAAAGCACAGAATTAATAAATGCTCTCCTATTTAGATCATCCATCACTTGTACATTGTAATCTCTTTATAATTATGATGCAGAGCATAAATTACCTTTGTTCTACTGGTGACTTGCTTAGCATAAGTGGTCAAAAAATAAACCATATACAAAAGTTTTATAAGTTTAAAACTATATATATATAAATATATATATATATATACTTACTATTGGAAAAAGTTCCAATGTCATATGAGGATATGCTAGGAATCGCAGATTCAATGGAATAAGTTTCTTAATTTTAACGATGGCCTACACTATTCAAATAGGCTCATCTAAAAGTTTTTAGCATGAATATATATATTTTAAAAGTTGTATAATTATACAGTGAATATTTCCATTTCAGATGTCAGAGACATCTTGTCAAAAGCCAAGAACTATGAGTAAGTGGATGAAAATACTTTGCTTCATAAACAAGTTGGCCTATTTATTTGGCCTACTTTTTTTAAAAAGCAATTTCCTTTTATAGATAAGATAGCAATTGTTGGACAATTAATCTCATAAAATGCTATTTCATAAGAAGATGGAAATAAATAATGGATAGTAACTAAGGAATACTGAGACTAAAATAATTTTCTACATATTTGTCTATTAATATCATAATAGACATAATAGTTTGTTTTCATGTGTCTATAATTAAAATTGCATTACGCAAAATATCTTTTAAAAATATTTTAATTGGGTATCGATGGAAGATTTTGTTTATTAAGACTCCCACATAAAAGTACTGGTATGGTATATAATTGATTTAGTAAAGCTATATTTAGCTAGCTGGTTAACTCTTGGATGGAAAAGGAAGTAATTATAGCTAGTATTTCACATTTTAAAAACTATATAGTTTTCCCGAATTTTAAACATCATAGCTACTCTTTTCATACTCTTTTGACATTAAACTATTTCTATCTGTTCTCCAATTAAACATAGATGTTTATTTAATTCTACAATTAATGATGTTTTTCAAAAGTAAAGCTTGTAGCACAAAAACAACATAATCAGAGACAAAGAAAACAAAGTCAACTAATGAACATAAAATTAAAAAATTAGAATTCCCCCCAAAATTATTTGAACTCTTGCTTTGCATGTCACAGAAAACCTTTTGTTGTTTTCTGGCAAGTTTCTGGATAGACAGAAGCTTCCCATGTATTGACAGAACTGTGGAAAGCCCAATTAGTTCTTCAGCTTCAGCAACATCTGTTCTTTCCTGAGAAGCAATTTGAAACATTCTGCAGGAAGCAGAAAGTTATCCAGATTCTAAAAAGTTTAAGAGTACTTTGGTTTAATTTTATTTTGGACTTTGTAAAGGCAGAGAATGTTATAAATACCAGGTGTAGACTAAATCTATAGTGTAATAGGTCTGGTGCTTTACCCACATTAAAAAGATCAATTGCCCAGTAACAAGGGGAAAAAAATGAGAACCAAGACTTGTCATGTAGAGGTACAAGATCCCAACAATGAATGTAACTGTACTGTATCCCTAAAATGTACCAATAAACTCAATTAAAACTGGAAAAAAAAAGATCAATTGCCAAGGTAATGGAGAGGAACTGCACATACGGAATGTCTGAAGGGAAAGCAGATGAGAAATAAAATATTAAAATTGTATGAATGTGCATAAAGATAGCATGTAAATTTAGCATTTGATTTCACATGGTACCTGTACTGCACCCCATTGTTCCAAAGATACCAGTTGTCTTCTAACTATGGTATAAACTCCTTGAAATAAGCCCTTACATTTTCAAGTCCCTCTATTCCATAATGGAGCCAACCCCTGTGATGAGCACTCAATAAATAATTATTCATTATTTAATGATGATCATAATTCAACTTTGTTAGGTCAATATAGTGTTGGAATATTCCTTGAAAACAATACTTCTTTAAATTATTATGTCATGGAAAGTTTTAAATCACCTCCACATTATTTATTTTTTAATTTTAAAGTGATTTTACATGCTACTGATGCAAATTTGTAAGGCAATTTCCACTACAATTAAAAAAATTTCTTTCCTATTTGTGTGTTGTATGTACTTTTTTGTCTCTTTTTTCTTTTTTTCTTTTTTTTTTTTTTTTTGCAAAAAGAAAAGAATACATTATATACTCAATAATTGCTTTCTTCAAGTTTAGGCTCACATTTTAAAGCTGTGAAGTGAGAAGACCGACTTTTTTTGACAATATTTTTATCCCTCTCTTCAGCTAAAGTTTGGAAAAAAAATAAACTATTGAAATTTGATGCAGAATTATGGGAGACTGCAGTCTTCACTCTACATGATCTCACCATAAAAAGGGATGTAAATCAAAGGAAATAATAATTGCATATGGTTAGCATTTCTCCATGAAAAAGGGAGATAGATGACACAATCATTTTCAGACTCTGATCTTGTTATGAAGTCCCAAATAGGACTATGTTGTACCAACAACAGCCTCTCCTCTATGGACCATATCTTTCACAGGAAAATTCCTAGAAAATGATTGACTTCATAGTTTATGTATTTAAACATCATGGCTTCTTTTAGACATAGAAAATTGGGTTTGTCTGTAAGCCAGCTTATGTCTGACTACTTTACTGGAATAGAGCTGGTGTTGGAACACAGATCTCCCTTACAGGGTCTCTCTCAGGAGTTGTAATGTCCTATGGAGATTAAAAAAAAACGGTGATTTAAATTATGCTTTCTGGATTCTCAATTTATTTTAGACATCTTCTGATAGCTTAACAAAAGTATAGTGATCTTTTCTAAACAGAATATGTGGGAGTATTACTAACGAAGGATGTCTTGGTGACTGCATTGTTGGTTATATTTGGCTCTAAATCATGATGCTGCTATGAGAATACTATGCTAATAGTTCCTGGATAAAGATTTTTCTGACTCACTAATCATTGAAAAGCTGCCACAATTTCAATGTATAGTAAGTGCTATATTAACTAACATTCTTGTTTATTTGTGAATTGCACATGGCTTATCATCTGGCTCATTGAACATAGGTCAATGAAAAGTGAGCATTGTTAGCACAAGAGAGCTTTCTATGCTTTATAACTTTAAACTTAATGAATCACTGTAACATCCAAATGGGCACTGCACTATTTATACTGTCTAGTTAAGAACAAATTTTACCGTATCATATTTGTAGCACAAGCACAACACTGTAATTTAGCACGTATTTTGTTAATAGTGTTTTGTATCCCTTTAGGATCACATCTTTGTACCCAGTGTCACATGTTACTGTTTTAGAGAAAACTTCTTAAGCAAGAGAAAGAAAAGTGGGTAAAGTTGCACTGTGACACATGCTGAGTAACCTATCAGTTATCTAATTTCCTAATTAATCCCCGATTTTGTTCAAGTTTGCAGAAAATATGCAGCAAAGATGAATCACACTCACAGCCCAAGGTGTGAAACATGAAGGGTATATACTGTAATTTCATTCTGCTCTCACCACTGATTCCTTTGTGTCTGCACTTGACTGAATTCTGGCCAGTAGACCTGAGAGAAAAATCTGTTGCAGGGCTTCTGGGAAAAGTTTCCTCTTGATAAAATAAATAGGCACAATGAGAAAACATCTCCGTTCCCTTTTATTTCCTATATTTGGATGTTGCTACAAAGATCTGATGGAGAGCTGCTGCTGCTTAGGGGTTGGGGATGAGGAAGGTCAACAACATGCAGGGTTATGGCACAGCTGAAAGTTAGTAAGGGCTTAGATACTTTAAGGCATTGTAAGACTGCTGAGCGAATTCTTAGATCTGCTTTCTCTCTGGACTTCTTGTTGAATGTCATAATAAATGTCCTCATTGTTTAAGACACATTTAACAGGGTTTTCTGTTACCTTACGACAAAACATTCCAATTGATAAAAGAAGGTAGTTAAAAGAATGCAGTTCATACCAGTGTGGTTGCTTCTCTCACAGGCAAAGGAGAGGCAAAGAAAAGAAAGGACATTACTGGTTTACTAATGAGCTTTTTGTAGATCTGGTAGTTTAGAACTTGAAATGCATTTTCCCTATAGAAATGTTATAAATGGTGTCCAGGTTCCCAAGGTAAGCCCATAAAGCCTATTTAATCCAATAATGCCACAAAATCCGCACAGCCTAGTAGAATTGAATCACCTTGAAAAACAATGTTTCCTTTGAGACAAAAATGAATTCAGAGAAAAAAATCGGAGATCTAGTTTAGTGAAATAGAAATCACCACTCCAACAGCAATAAAATTGAATAGTTCCCTCTCCTCAGGACTGCGTAGTGGAGCAATTATTGACCTACATCCCAAAAATCAAAGGCTGTATCTGTTGTTTGGCAGTCAGTTGCCCAAGAAGTCAAAGCCTAGGTAATAGTAGAGGAGCAGGATAGAAGTATAGTGAAAGGGAGATTAAATGTTTTCTTTCTTTCTACTCCCCAGCTCCAAGAATTTACCTCATGTCTCTACTTCTTTAGCACTATTATTTTTAATCAAAATAATCCTCATCTTTGTTTTTTCCTCAATGCATTTATAATTTGTGGCACATTTAAGTAGAATTAACATTATTGTTGATGGAAGTGTTCTTGCTTACCTGGTTTGTCACTCTGAATATTAAAATTTTATGCCAATGGTAAGATATTGACTCTCTCTCTCCCTCCCCCCCTCCTTCCCTTCTCTCTCTCTCTCTCTCTCTCTCTCTCTCTCTCTCTCTGGATGAAATGGCAAGATGTTCTACCAACAAAAATTAATTTAAACTACAAGTGGTACCTCTGTTCATAACTTGATTCTTTCCACATTTTTGGTCTCAAACTGAGCTGGACAAAAACTGAATCAAATTTAATAGTTAGGTTTAATGTTGACCTTATGGGAAAATTTGAGTTGGTTCTTGTCCAGTTCAGTTTGCAACCAGAATCGTGGAGAAAATGGACTTTGTGAACTAAGATGCCAATGACCTTGTGAACTTGGAAGATGTGAGAAATTTTATCACTTACTTCTCCCTAAAATTTAAGAAAGTTGTCAAGATTTGTGTTCTGTGTTTTCAAGTGCTTGCCTTTGGGGTTCTTGAACACTTTTACAAGTATAGGGACAAATGCTGAGGTGGTAAGGACTGCAGTAGACAACTCTTACCTTTTAAAGCTTAAGTTTGTGGATGAAGAAAGCAGACAACTAAGGAGGAGAAAGGCTTTCTCAAAAATTTTTTCTAAAGTTTAGGAAGTAGGTGAGGATATGCGGGGCTCATACTGAATGACAGAGATGTGAGGCTAGTTCCCTTTCTTGAACCCCACGAGAAGACCTCATTTTTGATGGTGTGATATAGGGATATTGGAGAAAATAATTCTTGAGATAGACAATGAAAAGATATGACAATGATATAAAGAAACTGTGCACAATTGATCACATATAAATTTCTATTAAAAAAAGACATGTACCTTTTAAATCAAGATTTCTTCTTTTACTTTGCAGCTGTAGAATTGCTGCTAGCTTTTCTGACTACTGTCATAAGAACACCCTCAGGTTCTAGATGACACTGTAGTTCCTAGAAGCCACTTTCACTTTATTTTTAAAAAAAACCACAGAGATGTCCTCAACTATGGGCTTTTGTCTCATTAGCCAGTAAGAAGAATCTCTCCAGTCTCTTAAGACTGAATCTTATTAGCATAATATCTTCACAAGAGCGACATCCCATCCATCACCGTTAGTCTATCCTACTGCTTAGAAAGAAGTCACAAGTCCTATACAAACTGATGGGGAAGGGGCTACCTAAAGGCATGGACACAAAGAACCACCTGGAAATGTGTCTCATTAATAACTGTACATCACACCAAGTTTCCTAAACCCTAACGACACCTTGAAACTCTGAAATAATCATCAAATATGACTATAAAAAGTGTCTTTATGACTTCTCTTGGATCTTTTTTGGTGGTTATAATTCTTACTTTGACTTTAGAATTATCTTGTACTATTGTATTTCAACACCATAACCAGTTTTTATGCCAACCCAGGTGAGAGACATTGGACCAGCAAGTCTCAAGGATTCTAAAAGTCCCTGGAGAGGGCATAGCAGGAGGGTCCAACCAGCTAGCAGGTGTTACTATTACATATTATTGATACTCTAGTGATGGGACATTAAGTGGTTCAGATCCCTGCATAGACTCTGCTGTCATTCTGCATTTCAGTTTTGCGATTATGGTCATAGCTTTTTTCAATGCTTTTGCAGTCACAAACTAGCACAATTATGGTCATCCCTCTTAAGGGGATCCAAATGAGCCCAGATAAACTGTAGACCTTCTTCCCTCCCTCTGAATTCCCTCTGAAGCCCTCAAATGTCCATAGAATCTAGTCAGGGTTATCTGTTTTTTATAAAATAATTTTTATTAACTTCTAAACTCAAAGAAAAGTGGTGAAAGTTTTGCCTCCTTCATTTGTCAAAAGTTCCTTATGCAAACCGGTGTACCCACTTCTGGGACCCTAAGAGTTAGGAGTGGTCTTCTAAATCTATCTGAAAATTTATTCAGTTAGGTGTGACCTTATTCTTTAAATCTGCATAACTGTGTACCTGCTCAGAGTAAAGAGGAATATCTCTAAGATGGTTTTTTTTTTTCACCTCTGTCTAACTAAAGAAGCAGCTGGTACTCGCTGAGTAAAACAAATAAAAGCCCTGCCTTACAAAGCATTTCAGGCACCCCATTACACTGGTATTTCGTGATATGCAGCTTCAAAGCAGAGTTTAAGTGCTGAGTCTTTATCAACTGATTTCAACTTGATGTTTTACTCTTCTCCATTTTGCTTTGCCAAATTCCAGCTAGAACCATGTAATGCTACAATTCTCTGTCATTTCATCCTTGGAAATCTTTGTCTTCTTTATGCATGTTGTGGCAATGGGAGCAGTGTTTTAAGATGTCTTCACTGGAAAGAACCCAAGCTAAAAACAGAAGTCAGGAGTCCATAGCCTTTATATGTGCAACAGGAAGTAGTGGACAAGGTGCTACTGTTAACTCTTTTATATAATCTGGTAACATGTGGGTGCCACAAGCACACAGGACATATGAGGTTTTTCTGGGGTCTTTAATTGAAAGGTGGGTAATTTTTTTTTCCTGCTGGCTGTTGATTGATGGATTACAACACTGGGCATTATATTCAGGACCATTGCACTCAGCTATATCCCTCATTCTTTTGAGAAAAATATTTCATTTTGATACAAGATCTCACCAAGTTGCTAAATTGCCCAGGTTGAGCTTGAACTTGCAGTCCTCCAGCCTCAGTCTTCC